TGTGTTCAAATACATGTACAACAGCACACACACCGACACACACACCGGCACACACACCGACACACACACACCGACACACACACACAGTGCGGGGCCTCGTGGTCCATCTGACCACAGACTGCTGCGACAGCCTGTGTCTCAGCGGTGGAGGATGGTGGCAGGAAGTGCAGCGTCTCTGAGCTCTGACACCGACGTTCACAAACACATGACGCCTGAGTTTCTCTGGGGCAGAGAGCAGAACAGGAAGTAGCGGGGTGTGGCTCCGCCTGTGCCACTCTCTCTTCCTCATCGTTCGCTCGTCCAGATTTAGACTGGCTTTTGATTCCTGGCGGGAAGAACATCCTGGATTTTGTGGCGGCAGGAACTGGGCTCGCTGCTGCCTGATTGGCGTAGTGGTCAGTGGAGCGTGTGCGTGCCTTCCAGGGGGAGGGACGCGTGACTCCAGTCAGAGAGGCCCACCTGAGGCTGAACATGGCCAGTGAGGACGTCCTGGAGGACCTGCTGGGGGAGCCGGCAGTCGATCCTCCTGCAGCCACAGAGCAGAGCGACCCAGAGTCGTCAGCAGGGGTCTGTAGTCCCCGTCCCTGGGTCTGAACCTGGAGTCCTCCGTCGTCCTTCTCTTTTCTCTCTGCTTCCTCCTTCACTTCCTGTAACAGTGTGACGCTGACTCACTGGAGTCTGGGCATTCTTCTCTGCCTCTGTGTCTGTGTCTGTCCAGCTCTGTGTCCTCGTGTCCCTCTGTCCTCTGTCCAGAGATGTTTGTTGTAAATCAGCACAGCAGTTTGTCCTGTGTTGGACTGTGGACGTCCCCTCAGCATGTCCTCCACTGCTGTCAATCACCTGACGCTGGACTCGTGCAGCGACTGACCGTCAGCTGCTGTCATCGAGCCTGTCAGTTGTCCTGTCTGTTGTCCTGTCTGTTGTCCTGTCAGACTGACTGTGGACTGGAGGTCTTTGGTTCTATTCCTTTTCTGATTTTTTGAAGTCCAACAGATGTATGATATTTGATGATGATCGGAGACGAGACTCTCCAAACCATAGAGTACTCATCTGTACTACATACTCTGTACTACATACATACTGTACTACATACTGTACTACATACTGTACTACATACTTTGTGTACCCCCAGGAGCAGACAGGGACCCATGTTGACTTTAGTCTGTATTAATACAGTAGTAATCTGATTACTGTTGATCAGTGAGAGAGTTGATGTTAGCATGTTAGCTTAGCTCTCCATGCTCTACAATGATGCTGCTGCTGCTGCTGCTTCATTAACTTAACGTCTGCCCCCCCACACACATGCTGTGAGCTAAAGATCTTGTGATTTTAACCCCCCCTCTCCCCCCCCCCCCCCCCCCCGGGCCGCCCCGTGCGGGTGGGCGGCGCTGGAGCAC